ACTTCTTATCGTTGAAAAATGGTAAATTTGATGTATTCTCATATGTTATTGGGCTCTGCAAGTCCAATAAGCAGTTTCAATAAGCTATGGCAGCCATTTTAAAATTCAAGATGGCCGCCACAAAAATAGTCAAAAATTAAATATTTTGGTATATAATTGCACTTCTCCTTGATAAAAAATGTTAAATTGGTGTCCAATCATGTATGTTTCTCAATAGAAATGGTAAATTTGGTGTCTAATGACTTGTTATGGGCAATCTGAGTCCAAATAACGTAGTTTTAAAAGGATGACAACTATACGTACTATACGTTTTTCCAATATGTCTGCCATTATTATGTACACATTTTACCTTACAAAATGCAAAAATAATAAATCTTTAGAAATACTACCACTTATATTATACAATAAAACATACCGTTAGCATTTGTTTGATGAACCTGTCTGTCTGTCTGTCTGGAATAAATCACAATTAGGTTCATACGTCATCATGCTCGGACGATTCATCGCTTGTTTCATCATCACTCTCATCGCTACTGTCACTATCGTTTCGTTCTGGAACTTTAATATCACTGGGTAGGTTTGGCTCAGTACTTCTTTCGGCATAGCACTTTACATTAATCAGTTTCCACCCACTTTTTGTTGGTGATTGATTGATTCTTAAGGAGAAGTTTAATTGATTGTATGATAGATAGTTGGCTCTTTTAATATGCTGAAATAGTGAATGTTTGTCTGGTGCCAATCTTACAAGTGGCTTTCTCTTTTTGTAGGACGTCCACTTGGTCAACCTTGCCTCTGTTGTGTTTTTGCTTTTGTTGTCATTGTATATAAACTTTAAGACAAACTTAAGACAGGAAGTGGAATTATACTGGAATATTTGATTTTTAAAGATTACTATGGCAGCCATCTTGAATTTCAAAATGGCTGCCATCCTAGGTTTTTGAAACATGTCTAATTGAATTCAGTGACCCTATTAACATATAGTTAGACACCAGATTTACCCTTTTTCATGGAGTAGAAGTAAAGTTATGAGCCATTCTCTTGATTTTAGCGGCCATTTTAAAAATGGCCGCCAAAAAACATGTTCCGCCCCTTTTCAGGAGGCTCACCCCCGCTCATTTTTTTATTTATACCCTAGTGATGCCGAATCAGCAGAGAAACCTTGGTCCCCGGAAAATGGTCACGGGGCCCTGTTTTTCACTATACTAAGCGTACTCATTTTCACAAAGCATTTGCATCCCCTCTTGGAAAGAGGGAACTTCGAAATAATTGTCTCCAAATCTTCTCTAATTAAATACCGTAATTCAATTTACACTTATGCATAGAGGGAGCACTTAAAATATACAATTATCATCTCACTACCCGACAAACCCCGAACTTTATTGATGAATTACATAAATAGTTTCATCTTGCTGTACTCCAACATCACTGGCGCATGGTAACAACCAACTGACTGCAGACCTTTTCCGGTCACACATTACTCTCCATAACGCAACACCCCCTAGATCCGTCACCTCTAGATCAGAGCGCAGATAATCATCAAAAAGATGACATGGAGTTTGCAGGCCATATTTCTTGACGAGCTGATAATAATATGGAGTACTTTATTCACAGAACGAACCCCTTATTTAAGAATCATTGATTTTATTATTTATTATATCAATTCATTATTATTTTGTTTTATCTTTATTGTATTTTGTTTGCAATAGAAGAACACACTTTTAGAATTGAAACAGAAAAAGAGGTAGACCAAGTGTTAGCTCCATTCAATCAAGGGATTGAAAAATAATGATAATAATGGTAATGTTAATGATGATAATAATTACAAATATAATAATAACAATAATAATAATAATAATAATAATAATAATAATAATAATAATAATTATTATTATTATTATTATTATATTACATAGAATGCTATTAACAATAATAGTTTTAGTAATTAAAATGCTAATGATAGTAATTATAATAATAATTAATATTGTTATCAATATTATTACATATAAATTTATTACCAATAATAGTTATGAGCTGCATGAATACATTGTGTTATCGACATTCAACCTATACTTACTCCCCCTCCAACTCCCCATCCTAAAATGATTTTGCCACAAGATTTAAATCCATTCATAGCGCCGCTTCCACAATCCGAGCTCTTACTTCCCGTAATGCTTTGAAGTCCCTGGCACTCTCTTAGAATCATATGATGAACAATGCCCTCGTTCCCTGCCTGAATGACAGGTTCAATCTGAAATTGAAAATATGATAATTACTAAGTGGCCCTACAAATAATAAATTTGAGAATATGTATAGTACTTACCTAATCCTCGTTGTCCCTACTAGGACACTTATGGCCGCGATTTGTGTTTTCATCTTGTTCTTATAACTTGCAATATGTTTTGCCTCACCCAACATACAAGATTCTTTTTATTGTCACTTATTGATAAGGTTCTTTTCTGCCAGTTGAGACATCATATTCATACGCTAGTTATTGTTGGGCCTTCCAGGTTCCCCTTTTCTCGGAGGTGTACATCTCAGAGTTATTTTAGAGATACGGCAGCCATCCATCCTGAGAACGCGGCACAGCAATATGAAATGTCAATATTTAATTTCTTCTATGACACTTCGGCGTCCTGTCCTATTAGATAGCTCGATGTTTGGTAATTTATTTGGCCAGACGATGCAGTAGATTCTCTGGTGACTTTTTGCTGTTAAAAAGAATCAATATTTTGTATGTCAGACTTGATTACTCAACAACTTTCAGAATCGTACATCAGAACAGACTAGACATTGCTGTTATATAGTCGAAGCTTAGATTTCAAGCTGTAACTGCTTTGACTTCGAGATGGAGCAAAGTCAAGCAAAGGAGCTATAGGCTTTTCCAATTCTTGCCTTGCTCTATGTTTGTGGTACGCTCTCTTTACAGGTAAGTATCCAGGTAGGTAAAGTCGTTCACAAACTCAAGTGACTCTCGACCTACTGTAAATGGGGCAAATTTGTAGTAATATGCACCACTTGAGATTTTGTTTTACTGATGCTTAAACCTGTATGCTTGGCAAAATAATTAAATGCATCAGTTTTCTCATGAGATTTGAATATTTGGTTGAGAGGACAGCGATATCATTAGCAAAGTCAAGGTCTTCTGAATGAGAGAAGAGATTCCACTGGATGCCCTCTTGGTTTGTCTGATATGGTGTTCCTTATGATACAACACTGTCTCACTTTAGAATCAACGGAAACCACTCGCTGAGGGTGCTAAAAAAAATGGCACTGCATTGAAAGTGATTGTAAAACGTCTTTACTAATAAAATGATATTGAGTAGTATTTCCTACGCTCGCATGATCTCCCACAGTGTTTCACGATGCACAGTATCAAATTCCTTTTTAAAATCTGTAGAATTAATATAAAAAGGGTATTCTACTATAGGCACTGTACAATGATATTTCGGATAGTAAAAAAATATTATTATTACTTCCTCCTGAATCCCGCTTGCTCCTGCCTAATCCTGATGTCAATAAGGTTTTCAATTCTGTTTAAAAAGGACTCTACGGAAAATGTTAATATGTATGGACAGTAAGGTGTTTCCTCGCCAGTTGTCACAAATTTGCAGATTGCCTTTCTTCGGGACTTGACAATAAGACCTTCTGAACCGTCTTTTGGGATGACATTGTCCAACTAAATTTATTGCAGTGTTAGTAGCTAGAACACTAACAAATCTAGTGTGACCAAAACCTTAGAAATTTATCGACTCACAACTGATAGAATTGTTGAAATTTGTTAAGTTTAAATTTCATCAATAAAATACAAAAAAAAAAAAAGAAAAAAAAAAAAAAGAACAATTGGATTGCACACTGTGTAAGATCATTTTATAAATGATTTATTAACCAGCTCACGTTTTCAAGTAATATTCTAAATAATAGCATTCAAGTCTAATGGAGAAAGTCGGCCGGCCGGTTGGTGGTTGGTCAGGCGGTCGGTGGGTCGGTCGGTTGGTTGGTTGAACAGCATTTTGCATATTGACACAACTGGTGTCAATATTAATATCAGTGTCAGATGATGCAGAATTTACTTGCTCCAATTGGTTTTTTGTAAGTGAAGAACACAACGGGCGGCCTGCTTAGGTTCAGTTGTTAGGATGGGTCATCCTTATCTACCCCAAATGGAGGGTGGGTAATGTTTTTCATAGAGAGGCGTTTAGTGATTTTGTAGGCAGCATTCATATCTCCAAGGGCTGCAGCCTTTTCTCTTTTTTTATTTTCTTTTTTTTTTTGCTTCTTTAGATAAATCTTCAATAAAACTTCTTTTATCTTTCCTGGCACTGTGTCTTCGATTTTATAAGCCGTCTGTACACGTTCCTGTAACCTAGGTGATCTAGTGTTAGCAGTTTCCCATTTTCCATGCCCGAGGTGATAACCATTCTTTCTAATATCTGTTTAGCTGATTCACAGTAGGTGTTCTTGATGTTATTCCATTTATATTTTTATATTATCCTCAATAATACACGCAAGAGCACTGAAAATATTTCTCAGCTCAAGTACAAATTCTGTGTACACTTACATTTTTTTTGTGTCAGCACACTTAGTTTTCTTTTGTATTTTCCCTGTTTTATTACTTCCTGAGTTTTTGATGGCAGCTGCCGTTAGGTAATAGTCAAAATTTGCATCGGCTCCAGGATAAACATGAATATTCTGAAGGTTGGGTGGTGTGGTTAGAAGTGTTAATGGTCTTATCACCACAGCCAGTGGTGTTGGGGTCAGATAGATTATTATGGGATGAAGAGCAAAAATTAGTAGCATGGGTATCGTTAAAAAGGCAAGGCAAACACACTTCCCCGTATTGCATCATGAGAACCCTTTCCTTGTGGCGATAGACTAACAAGGATCTGACTTAAGGGAAGAAAAACTTCGAAAATATATATAATTTGGAGGGCCAACACCCCGCTAAGTTCAAAACATTGTTACTTAAACCGCAATGAATATGTATAGTGCCTGTTAAAAATGTCCGTAGAGGAATAAATTCAAATATATTTTGTATTAATAGGTAAATTTCCACTTTATTTTTCAAGTACCCTAATAACTTGATGTGGACTTGACAACGTCGGCAGTTCTACGTAGGTGCACCAGTAGGTAGTATCTGTGTCACTTGGTACGATGATCTATGACATAAAAACAAGTTGCAAATTGTGATAAAGTAATAGAAATCATTCCGTTTGATAATATAGGCTGAAGAATATAGGGTTTTCATGTAAGTTATACATCATATATATATATATATATAAGTATATATATATGTATATATATACTTATACACATCTAGATGTGTATAAGAGACAGACACGATGGCGTGCATTCAATACCTTCTTATCTGAGAATGATTAATCAGTGGACATTTCAGAGTATATAATTGTTTGTACACTATATGAGGCATGTCATGGCGAAATAGTTGTCGCACAGGCTAGTATTGAGTAAATGAGCTATAAAAAAAATTAGAGCTCGGAAGAAATCTCAATATCTACAGACAGATAAGTTTCGGCAGCCCAGGTCTCATCAGTGCAGCTACGAGGGGTCAGATTTCCCCGACGAAAGCAAAATAGGCGTGGTCGAGCTTCAATTAAAATGATTCGAATGTGGTCCTGTGGGCGAAGCCCCCGAAAATTTTAACAATTTAGGGGTTTCAAAGGCTTATTTAATCGATTTTATAGTCTACTAATATTTAGAAAATACATATAATTTTTTCCCTCCACGAAGGATTGTGCTCTTTCTCCCGACGGGGAGGGAGGAGGGGCTGGGGGTCAGCTCTCCCCCACAGGGGGCTCAGTTCCCGGCCCCAGCAGGCTCCACCCATGTTTTGTAATTTTTAATTCGTCCTACGAAATTCTTACAGACAGCACTAGTCCGCGAATTTTTGAACAAGATCGGAAATCTAAAGATGCAATCTCTACCGTGCATCAATGGCGGCCGCTGAATCTCAATAGATTCCTTAATAATAATATAAATTTTAATAGGCAAATGGGATTGCCTATTTACCAATTTAAATTTATATTATTATTAAAGAATCTCTTTGTATATATATTTCTTGGTTTGGCTCTGTAACCTTTAGTGGTCGTTTGACCTCTCTGACTCTGCCTAAGCTTTTCAAACATTCCGTTTTGGGCCAGTGGGATGCTTAGTTTATTTTATCATTCTGATCGCATTTTCTTTATAGTTTCGTTTTAATTTTATATTGTTTTGCATTATGTGGTCGTTTGCTGTTTTATGGGGTTTTCTCATTTGCCTATTCTTTTCCATCAAGTTTATATGTATTTTTTAACATGTTACTGAAGAGGTAACTCAGTGTAAAGAATAAATAAATAAATTATATATATGCTGTCTCTTATACACATCTAGATGTGTATAAGAGACAGGTGTATACTTACATTTTTTTGGGGAGGGGCTGGGGGTCAGCTCTCCCCCACAGGGGCCCATCCCCCGGCCCCAACAGGCTCCACCCATGTTTTGTAATTTTTAATTCGTCCTAAGAAATTCTTACAGACAGCACTAGTCCGCGAATTTTTGAACAAGATCGGAAATCTAAAGATGCAATCTCTACCGTGCATCAATGGCGGCCGCTGAATCTCAATAGATTCCTTAATAATAATATAAAGTTTAATAGGCAAATGGGATTGCCTATTTACCAATTTAAATTTATATTATTATTAAAGAATCTCTTTGTATATATATTCCTTGGTTTGGCTCGGTAACCTTTAGTGGTCGTTTGACCTCTCTGGACTCTGCCTAAGCTTTTCAAACATTCCGTTTTGGGCCAGTGGGATGCTTAGTTTATTTTATCATTCTGATCGCATTTTCTCTATAGTTTCGTTTTAATTTTATATTGTTTTGCATTATGTGGTCGTTTGCTGTTTTATGGGGTTTTCTCATTTGCCTATTCTTTTCCATCAAGTTTATATGTATTTTTTAACATGTTACTGAAGAGGTAACTCAGTGTAAAGAATAAATAAATAAAATAAATAAATTATATATATATGTATATATGCGTATATATATATATATATATATATATATATATATATAGATTAAAAAGCAAAATACTGAAAAACAACAATGCTGTGGGAAACAATGGCTGGATCTCGGTAGAGATACAAAAATGATAAGCAACAGCTAAAAAGTAACAGAACCAGAGCTTTCGGACAACACTAGTCCTTCCTCAGTGGCGAGTGAGTGAGTGAGGGTTGAAAAAGCCAGATAGTATAAAGTGAGAATTTCATGCAAGCATGATTAGAAACAATAGGCTAGGCTAGGTGGGATTAGAATAAACGACCTAAGCAAGTAAACAGGAAGGCCAAAACTAAACTTTAGAGGCATGCCTCAATGAATAAGCAAAATGATTTATCCAGAATAATTTGGAATGCCATAGGTTAATTTAGTGTACTGGGAAAACGTTCCTAATATTGAGTCCAAATGGTGTGGCAGTTTTAAGTAAAAGTTCCCAGTGATTCTCTTTATCTTTGCGATTTTTGTCGCTCCAATTGGCATTATGGTCAATTGCAATCACTCTGAAATTTGAAACTGAATGACCAGCGAAATTGAAATGTTCGGCTATTGGTTGATCAAGCTTAGATGTTCTGATAGCTGATCTAGATTGTGTCATTCTCATAAGGAGAGTGTTTTTTGTTTCTCCGACATATTGTTTACCACAAATATTACAATATATGAGATAAATGACATTTTTGGCGAGGCAATTAATTGATTGCCTTATCCGAAATATGTGGTTTGTTTGGTTGCTCTTGAATGATTGTGTAGAATCAAGCAAGGAGCATGTTTTGCATGATGAACCACAAAGATGACTACCCAAATTATGGCTGTCGCAAGAGTTAACCTGCCTCTTGAATTTAGATCGTACTAATATATCACGAATGTTAGGTGGTCTGCGATGGGCTATAAACGGTGTCTCCGGAAAAACAGACCTAAGACGTTCTGTGGTCTGTAGAATGGGCATATGTTTCTGAATTATAGCCCTAAGTGGTGGTAGCCTAGGGTGATAGGTAGTGACCAGTGGCACTCTGTTTGATCGCTGACGTGGTTTGTACGTCAGTGTTTGAGCACGAGGTGTGTCCTTTGCTTTTTTACAGCATTTTCAATGGGTCCTTGATGATAATTTCTATTCCGGAGATGTCCGGATAGCTCTTCTGTGCGATTCTGAAAATCTAAATCCGAAGAACAAATGCGTCTCATGCGCAATGCTTGGCTGAATGTTTTTTGTACAGTGCGGGGGATGAAAGCTGCTAGGGAGCAGGTACATATGCTTATCCGTGGATTTACGGAAGAGATCAGTTTTGAGTGCACAATTTTCCATGATCACGGTGATGTCCAGAAAATCTACACTGCTTGTGGATTTGTTAGCAGTGAATTTGATTGTGGGATGAGCCGAATTAATGTTCAATAGGAACGTATCCAAACTATCTTCACCATGGGTCCAGATCATGAAGATATTATCAATGTAACGAAACCAAACATCTGGTTTCTTGGGCTGTAAGGACAGGAAATTGGCCTCAAATTGTCCCATAAATAAGGTAGCAAAAGATGGAGCCATTTTAGTGCCCATCGCTGTGCCATGAATTTGAAGGTAATGACCGTTGCCGAAAACAAAGTTATTATTGGTCAGAATCGACATGATAAGTTTTGCCCCGAATTTGTTTGTAATTTGAAATGCACGCATTAACACCTTCTTCATGATGGATATTAGTATATAATGACGAAACATCAAGTGAAGCCAGAACAGTATTATTAGGTAAATTTGGTGAGTCGAATGGCCGAGCGGTTAGCAGGGGCGCCGCAAGCTATAGCCATAATATCGGCGCTGGTTCGAACGGCACGATCGCCTATGGTTCTGGTGGTAGAACAAGTCTTCTCGGATAAGGACTATAAGCCGTAGGCCCAGTGTATACAATGGCTCGTGTGCACTATAAAGAACTCAGTACATCCTTCGAGACGAGTAGGGGGATACCCCGGTGTACTGGAACAGACAGCCCCTGTGGTGGACGACCAGAGTTGCTGGTACCGGGTTACCGGGCAGCACAGACACGAAGGGACCCTTAGGGGCGAAGAAAGTCATTGATCGAGTTCCTAGTCCACATTTCAAGCGCCCTGAGCATCTTACATTAGATGGATTTGTGCGCTATATAAAACTACACTATTATTATTATTATTATTTGAAATTTGGTTAATTTTGCGGATAAAGTCCATGGAGTC